GGGGAGGAGGATTGAAAATGAGAGATACATTTAAAAATGGGAAAAGATAACCCTGAGAGAGGAAAAGAGCTGGCAGTAGATTTGCCAAGGAATGTGGCTACAAAGAAATTCTTGAACATATGTTCCAAGAAAGAAACAGGTTTGGTGAAACTGACCCAGCCACAGGCAACCAGAGCAGAAACAGAGAGAGGCCCAAGAAGAATTCATAAAATACCCCAAAGAGACAACAGAAAGGAATCAGCCCTTGACTGTGGTGCCACAGAACCTGTTTCTCATCATTTTTACCTGCTAGAGAATTTTTTTAAGGCTCCTCTTCTGTAACTGTGGGCTAAAATGAGTTCATGTTTTACAGGGCGTCCCACGAGTAGGGTGATGTTAAGTGGGGGCCTTGTTAGGTCCCAGATCAAGTGGTTGTTACCTTTCTCAGCTCGAGGACAGGGAAACTGTAAGTGATTTTTCAGGGTCATGAACACAGGCTTGGGAGGCCTGCCAATATTTCTCAGGATTCGGCCTCCAGAATTCCTGGAGGAGCTGTGAAACCTTTTATGATTATAAATCTAATTACTTTAAATGAAAAATGTATGGGCCTTTCCAGGACTACTGACCCACTTCCAGGAGCTCAGTCTACATTAAATTATGATGGAAATCTTAGTAAATTCTTGTATCCAGAATCTTAAGAGATTCTTGAAAACCCCAGGCTCCATTCTCCAAATCTGTAATAACTGCTATCATTAAGATATCATAAAACTGCTCTCCAAACTAATAAAAAAAAAAGTGAGGAATTCACAGCTACCGTAAATGCAGAGTTTATTCACTAAACCAGGATACATAAATAATAATTTTTCTTGTTTAAATTCATGGCACTAAAATGAAATAAAATGAATTCATAGCATTAGGTTATAGACTAAATTAACCTTAAAAAAAAATTATTCTTAGGTCCTTGAAAATGAAATCATGAAGAAAGGCATCATTGATATAAAATACTAAGCTTAATGATAAAAATTTTTTTGTTAACAATAACCAATGCTGGGCTGGGGATTTAGCTCAGCTGCAAAAGCACCTGCCTGGCAAGCGCAAGGTCGTGAGTTCAGTTCCTGGTACCGGAGAAAAACCAAAAAAATAAAAAAAATAAAAATAACCAATGCTTTGTTTGAATTTCTTTGCTGCAGTAATAAATCTGGACATACAATGATATGTTTAAGTCAATTAAAATAGGAACATAATTGGAATTCAATCATTATCTTTTCTTGTTTGAAATCTTTCTAATATGGACGGAAATTCAACCAAGATCAATATTAAGTGAAAAAATATAAAAGCAGTTTTATCACCTCAAAACACTTCACAATTGCTGAATATTATCATTAGTATATTACGTGAGAATGAACCAAGGGGCTTGAGATGTTAAATGGTGTCGGGGTGAGACTTCTTATCAAACTTGTCCTTAACTTAAAAAAAAAATAGATCAGCAGTGCTTGAGAATATCTGCATGGTGACTCAGAACAAAGAAAGTCTAAGGGAACTCAAAACAAGCAAAATGACAGCTATGTGTCTTGGACACGGGGACAGAACGCACCTGTAAAATCTCAATGATCTTCAGCTTGGTGTCCATCACAGTGACGTCCTCGTGCTCGGCGGGGCTCGCCTGCTTGCTGGGGTGGGTGCTGGGCTGCACATCGGGCACACTCGTGGGGAACAGGGAGCCGCGGCTGAGCACCATCTGCGTCATCATCTCCCCCACCCCATGGATGGTTCTCATGACGTTGTTTCCTGTCACCAGAAAAGGCTCAGTCAACACACACACACACACCCAGATGCACAGCTGGGATGTTCGCTGGCCATAAGCAGACTGTGTGCTAGGCAAGTACCCCACCACTGAGCTGCATGCCCAGCCCCCAGGAACGAGCTGAAGACAACAACGCACAGCATCAGCCCAGCCCTGGCTTGCTCTTTGTCGGTGGAACTAAGACACTGCAGACCCATTTCAAAGGGAGAGCTCCACCCTTCTCTCTGTCTCTGTCTCTGTTTGTCTGTCTGTCTGTCTGTCTGTCTCTCTCTCTCTCTCTCTCTCTCTCTCTCTCTCATACTAGAAGTTGAACCCAGGGCCTTGGCTCTATGCAACATTTTCAATCTTGTTTTTTAAAAAAACTTTCTATCTTGAGACAAGGTCTTGCTAAGTCACTAAACTGCCCAGACAGACTCGAACTTGCAATCCTCCTGTCTCAGCCTCCCAGAGTGCTGGAATTTTAGGCCTCTGCTGCTGGGCTCAGCTCAAACTAACCAATTTTTTTTTAAATGAAGTTTACAATTCTCAGAAAATGCTTTCAAATGATGCATCAAAGGTAAGTTGCTGGTACTTTAATATCCAAGTCAGATCCTTCTGCAAGACAGTAGTTCAGCCCACCAAGCTATAATTCCAATAGGCTCTAACTTTTACAATAATGCACAACAAGAGTTATTGATCTCTCAGATACAGTGAGTCACAAGTGAGGATACAATGACTATAGCCTACTCCAGATAATGAAGTTAATAAATTTCTTTTTTCTTATAAGAGGCCTGAGCCAGTCTTCCATCCTAAAGCTTAAAAACCAAACAACCCAGCATTGGGGCACACACCTTAAGTCGCAGATACCCAGGAGGCTGTGGCAGGAGGATCTCCTGGGCCCAGGAGTTTAAAGCCAGGGTAGGCAACCTAGTGAGACTCTGTCTCCAAAAAGGAACAACAAAAACAAAAAGCACATTCTTTTGGAAATCAGAGAAAACCTGAATAAATCCTCTAGTTTCACCTGCTTTTTAGATACTTACTTTGACCACTGGTTTTATTATGTATTTCCTCTGGGGTTTTAGAGACACGGTCTCACTACCTAGTTCAGGTTGGCCTTGAACTCCCTATCTAGCCCAGGCTGGCCTTGAATTTGCTGTGATTCTCCTGTCTCAGCCTCCACAGTACTGGATTACAGGCACTGGCCACCACAACAGACTCTGATCTCTGGTTTCAGAAGCTGCCTGACTAAATAGTATAGTAATATGGCCCTGCTAGCTTTCCTGTAGATAACATCTCTGATGTATGGTCACCTGATAGCAGTTGTTTTGCCTCTGTGTGTGTGTGTGTGTGTGTGTGTGTGTGCTACGTGTGTTTGTGTGTTCTTTTGGTTTTTATTTTTCAGGGACTTTGGGATACAGAGGTGTCTAGCTCCAGCTGATGAACCCGCAAACCCCTTTATCTTCCACAAATGCCCAATGGGCAGTCTTTGGACGTCAGAGGGCCAGAAGCGCCTCCCAGAATCATGAGAATCATGCTCACACTGCCAATTTCTGAACTCGCGTTCTAGGAAGAGCCCTGGATTGCTTACACCTGCACAGAGCATGATTAATTCTCTTCTTCCCCATCAATCACCTCTGCCCTGCTTTTTCAGCCCGAGTACCCTTTAAACACTGCCTTCTAGGAGGAGGATCTGAGCTTGGGGGCTCCTCACATCTGACCACCTCCTGAATAAACTCTCTCTTTTGCCAAACTCGTGGTTTCTGTGATCAACACTCTTGTGGGGCCAGCAAAAAAGGCCTGGTTCAGTAACAGAATTGCACAAAAACGACTAAATGCTGAATGTCAGCACCCTAACTCTACATTCTTAGCTACTTAGCTTTCTTTGCACAACTCTCACAGAAAGAGCTGGGAGCAGGATTTAAGAAAAAGACGCCTCTAAGGAAGGAGGCTGTATTTTAAAACACACTTCCCAACCCATCTCATTTAAATAGAAA